TTTTGGACTGTTTTCCTCCTAGCTAAGCTCCCGTTAGTTTTCGGCGAACCAGTCAAGTTTCGGGACAAATAAACCCAAAATTCAAGCTCAGCACCCTCGAAAATCTCTGAGTACATGCCTGGTGGCTGCTCATAACGTAGTGCTCGTAAGTTCTTCGATACTATGAAATCCTGCAATCTGAGTGGTCAGATACATGGGTGGGTCTGTTGTAGGCGAAGAACCGGTATTTTTTCGACAAAAAGTAGTCGTTGTTCTTCGTCTGGATGAGAGGAGGGCTTCTGGAAAGTTTTGGTCTAATGCCTCGTACCGTATCGAAATACATAAAGAACAAACAGACATACAAACATTCTTCTTTATATATGTTGGCCTCCAATGTCGCATTCAGTCCAATCTCAGATCCGCTTAGGCCAATCTAGGATTCCAGATTGGACGCGTCCAAACTTGGATTAACACTGTCCTCTAAGGTAAAATTCGATTTACTTTTCAAAATAACAGGGAGTGAGTACGGGTGAGGGTGAGGGGTGTCAAAGTCAAAGTGCTCTATTCGTTCATATCATCAAAATCGAAATCACAGTCGTATAGGAATATTTATTGCGGCTTTCAAAAAAATCATCAAGCTTTGGGAAAATCTCGATAAACGTTCATAGCTGACTCGAAAATTAATTATAAGCACATCAAGAGGTAAAGCACCCTGATTTTGCACACCCCTCACCCTCACTCGCACTCACTCTCTGTTATTTTGAAAAGTAAATTGAATTTTACCTTAGAGGACACTATTAATCCAAGTTTGGACGCGCCCAACGTAGGATCCTAGATTGGCTTAGGTGGATCTGAGATTGGACTGAATCCGACATTGGATGCTAACATATATATAGATCAGTTTCTCGAAAACTCCATTTGTATGTGACATGGGTCACCCAGTAGGGTGTTGAGCTCAGTAGGCTTCCGATTCCTAATGTCCTTCCTCCAATCATCCAATGATATTCATTTTCCAAAAAACGCAGTTCCTATTAGTTTCAGGCTAACTAATAAGATTTACAGGTATATGGGTGTTTGATTTGAACTCACCATCTCTGGCATTCCCACCTAACTATTCCTGAAAATGCAAGTTTTAATTAGCCAATTTCTTGACCACTGAATTCCTATTGGTTTCTGGCCATTCAATCAGATTTCAAGGCAATTGGGCACCTCAAATTCGAACACACCGTCTCTGTAGATCCCTCCCTAATTTTTTCCTAAAAGACGCAAATGTAATTAGCGAGTTTCTGGGCAGCTAAATTGCTTTTGGCTTTCGACCATTCAATCAGATTTCGAGGGGAGTGGACCTGGTTTCGAGATTCACCACCACCGAAAACTCTCATCTGACCGTTTTGCCGGCAATCCGAGTTCTATAAGCTCGTTTCTCAGAGGCTGATTTCTTAATGGTTGCTAGTTGAACGATAGGATTTCGAGTTGATTGAAGCACATCTTTGAACTCCTGGACCTTAACACGTTCGAGGCGATTCAGTTTTCATACAGAAATTCATCGAGATACTCGTTTCTACGTAGAGTAAACTTTTATTAAATGCACTTACTGACCTTTTCTTTCTATTTTCTCGAGTTTTTACTGTCTTTCTTTGTTGTACAATTAGACAGCGAATCGAATCTCATGTCCAGCTGTATAATGACTCAGGTTACTTTTTTGTTCTGTAGTATGCTGTATACATTACATGCGAGATAAGGATACGAAGTTTCTAGAGTTTTCTGTTGAATTCGTGTCTATTCTGCTTGTTGCTGCTGAAGGAAAGGAGCAACCTGGACACGATGTCCGAAGACGTTGTGCTGGTTGTTATGCGAAAATTAGGCAAGAAAAATCCAGAGAAGCAAGCTTGTTGGCAGAAAAGAAGACAAAGACTTTTCGCGCCGATTGTGACAAATTTTATTGTCTTGATTGTTTTAATGAGAAGCATCCTTCCACTAAATAAAAGATTCAAAAAGCGAAGATAGCAAATGCCAGATTTGGTATACTTTCTTGTCTGAAGAAAAGGAAAAACTAAGTGTTCTTCTAAGAAGATACTTCTTGAATATAGTGAGACCCACCAGTGGGTCTCATCGTTTCAAATATGTTTAAAAATCTAACTTGGCCGTTTTTCTTGAAGGCATCGAATCCACTGATTTTCTCAGTAGATGCACTCCTACTTCGTCTTAGTCGACCAATCAGATTTCGAGGAAAGTGGACTCGGTTTTCGAACTCAGTATCCTTGAAAATCCTCGGATAAATGACTTCTACACGTCTATAACGTGACCCATATAGTACACTCTAAAAAAGATTCGTTCTCTAGGAAACCGACCCAAAAAGGTTTCCGAACGTTCGAAAATCTTTATGGGTTTCCAAGATCGACTCGAAAATCCTTTTAGGGTTTTCGCAGGCGAAAAAATGGGTATCCGAGCGCTCGGAAACTCTGAATAGGTTTCCGATAGTAACAAGCTCGGAAACCTCAAAAGGTTTCTGAATCTCGGAAACGAATAGTTTTTTTCGGAAACCCTTTTGGGTTTCCGAGTCTATTACTATGGGAAACTTATTTAGGGTTTCCAAGCGCTCGGATACCCATTTTTCGCCTTCGGAAAACTTCAAAGAGTTTCCGAATCAATCTTGGGAGCCCTTTTGGGCCGGTTTCCTAGAGAACGAATATTTTTTAAAGTGTACTGCTATTACACTGCCCTTATTGTGAATATAATTGGCCTTACACCTATGTAGGCTTTTCGTCGCCGAAGGATCGATACTTTCTGGAGCAAAAAGTAGCTGTTGACCTGCTCGTAGATGAAAGGAAGATTGGTAACAAAGTTTGGGTCCACTTGCTTGTACATTGTGGAAATGCCTAAAGAATAAACAAACGGACAAACATTCTTTATACAGCTTGATTACGTTATTTTTGATAGTTTTGCTCAGTTTTCTGTATTCATGTAGAAACTCGCAAGTTTCTTATTTTGATACAATTGGATAGAGCATCGATTACTCTATCGAACCATATAGTTTTCATTTTATTTCCGCTGGATCTGGCTCAAAAATTTGATGAATCTTAAGAAGCAGCCAAAACCATTTTTTTTAACCAGCAATTTTCAGATCATTTCTGAGATAATGTTCTCGATGGTTATTATTTACTGGAGTGTTGAAACTTTTTATTTTTATATAGAATAATAAACCGTTCTTTTCTCTATCAAACTATATATTTTTTGGATAGACTTATTTTATATTTCTACTATAAAATTAGTGAATTTTTCAGAAGCTTTTTTGTGAACTTTTTTCATATATGATTTTCGGCTGTTTTTTAGAGAAATTTTTCTTTTTTTAAACATCTACTCTTCTTTTCTTCAGCATGTAGCTAAATAGAGCGTTTATGTCTCAATCGTTTTTACAGTTTTGGTTAGACTTACGTTGAGTCTTACAAGTGAGTTTTTGCGAAATGTATCACAAACTTGGTTTTTCACTGGCACAAAAATGGGCGAAAATTTAATACCAAATATTCCTTTTCCCCTCAATTTCGAATCACTTCCGTTTAATTTTTTTCACGAGGAATTGTGATGAATCTCTTCCATTCACATCAACTTTCGTTATTATTGAGCTTACTGTTGCCAAAATATAACTGTGGAAAAGTTTCGTTTCAGCGCTTCTCGGACTTCATCAAATTTTTGAACAAGATGCAAAATAAATGTAATAAAAACTATATAGCTCGATAGAGTACCTGATGCCCTATCGGACTATATCAAAATAAAAATCCTCCGGTGTTTTAAATAAATACAGCAAACTATGAAAACTATGTTAGTTTTAGGCAAGAGAAAAAAGCGTAAAAAATGGCGAATGATTCGTTTTGGTTGGAAGGTAAAATTGAGTTGTGAGAAGCTTTTAATTTGTTTCTCGGTTTTTCTTTTTATATCGATAGGACATGTTAGATATCATTCGACAGAGTGAATGAAGAGCTTTCAAACGACACCAAAATCAGCCCTCAAAATATGAGATTTGATTCTTTCTCGGTTGAAATATTGAACATCAAATTTTACGAGATTTTTGTAAGCTTCGCACAAAAATGATCTTCGAAGCATTGCTTCATTTTCCATCAAAACTCACTATAGTTGGTAAGATTTTCGCACGATTAGATTCTCTGTTCCATTCTGTATGGAAAAAATCCAATGAGTCATAGCTTTCGATGGTATAATGATGGGGCAATAGTTTAGGCTGAATGAGGATCCTATGCGTTTCCCACGTTTTTGCCTTTATACACTTGAACACTCGTTTCAGATCGTGCTTTACAAAAGTTTTTATCACAGATCACGCAAGAATGCAGAACATACCGCAAGGTGCATTTACTGGTGCATGTGTGGCAACTGAGGCCCTTCGATGGGATGACCGCGAAATTAAAAAAGTAATTGAAGAAGATGTGCCAACTAATAGTAAGCCAATCGTTGTTTATTATTACTTTGCTTTCAACATGAACAAAGAATATCAAGAAATTACCGGAAGAGCCATGAAAAAGATAAAAAAAGCGGCACCTGGTATTAAATTTGTAGATTCTCCTGAAGCGATTAATCGTATTTGCATCCAATGGTCACCGGCAGGAATAAACGATTCTTCTGTTGGAATGCAGAAAGGTATACAAATTCTGAACTTAGGAAAGGCTAGAAAAGGCATTGCGCTCCATGAATTGTTGCATGCATTAGGGTTCCATCATGAGCATCAGCGTGAAGATCGAAATACGTACGTTGAGGTTTCTCCGAAGGCCGATTATAACTACTGGAGAATGGGTACGCCCTATGGTCGATATGATCCTTATTCTATTATGCATTATACTTGTGACAAAAACAAACACATGAGAAGTCGTCGACCCGGTATACCTCATAACGATAAAACTCTGAGTAATTGTGATAAGATAGCGCTCAACAAGTTATATCCACCCGTGAAAGGATTCCGCGGATGGAACCCGAAGCGAGGTGTCACTGGTTTATACTATTGTGGCAAGGAAAATATGAGAAATAATAATGCACCATGGGGTAAAGTCGGTACTGATGGTTATTGTGGTCCTAATCATGGTCCAAACTGTCATATTTGTCGACAGTACGGTGGAATTGAAATACGCACTAATGATAAAGGACATCAATCAATACAAGGAGAAACAGGGCTCTTCTATTGTGGAAAAAAAATGCCAATAGTACGGGGAAAAGGAAAAGAGCTCGATTATTACTCTTGTGGTCCTCATTATGGTCCCTGCTGTGATTCTTGTGCTCGGCTACTGGAAAAGAAATTCACGAAGCATCAACAACGTGACAGCTTTCGTAAGGTCCATTCCATTCCTCTTCCTCGCCTGCATAAGGTGAAGACGCACGATAGAAGACTACGGGTGATAA